TAGTCAACACCTAAACACTAAACTCCAAATTTCAAATTACACTCAACTTTTTTGAAACTCGAATCTAGTTTTTTAACTCGAATCATAAAATTTGAGTTAGTGAAGTGAACGGGCCCTATTTACGTGACATTTGAATGAAAGTTGAAAGGATAAAATGAGAGAATGAATATTACTTACAGTTTAAAATTAAAGGGATGTTCTTTTATAACGAAACTCAGAAAAAGTTTAAATTCGAGTTATAATTTTATTCAAGTTCATGTTCTTTTGTAAAATTTGAGTTTGAACTCGAGTTTGAAATTGAATTTGAACTCGAGTTTGGAGCTAAACTCGAGTTTAAAGTTTTCATGTCAACTCGAATTCATAAACTCGAACTCAAATTAATGACCCGTTTAGTTCGCTGATTCGAGTTTTTAATTCGAGTTGAGATGTGACTTTATGTGAGAGCCTATTACTATAGCAAACAAGTTAGATGTGATTGTTTCTGAGAGCTTTTTACTATAGCAAAACTCGAATTCTAAACTCGAATCGGTGAAATGAACAGCGCATTATGGGCTTGTTCTTTTGGAGTTTAATTTGAGTATAATTCTTGAGTTGAATTTGAGTTATAACTTGAGTTGAACTTGTAATTTGAGTTTGTGTTTGGTTGTCTACATTTGAGTTATGGTTTGAGATAAGAATCTTTTTGAGTTTGTGTTTGAGTGAGTCAAAACTTGAATTTGTATTTAGATAATATTTTAATAAAAACTCAATGCTGATGAAAAATTTTAATAGGGTATATAGGTCAGGTTTTATTCGTCTTTTCGTTGTCAACGTATAGAAAAAAAAAATCATCTCAATCAAAATTAAAACAAAAAAGTTATAGCATTTTTAATAATAGAAAAAATACTGTTCATTAATTTGAGTTCGAGTTTCTGAACTTGAGTTAAAGGAGAAACTTGAACTCGAGTTTTAGTCATAAACTTGAGTTTGAACTCGAGTTTAAACTCGAGTTTAAACTTAAAAGAACATGAATTCGAATAAAGTTGTAACGCGAGTTGTCTTTCTTTGAGTTTTTCACTCAAAAGAACAAGCCCATGTTTTCTATTCTTAAAAAGTCATAACTTTTTTATTTTAATTCTGATTGAAATGATTTTTTTTCTATGTATTCACAACGAAAAGACGAATAAAACCTCACTCATATATCTTATTAAAATGTTTCATCACCATTGAGTTTTTATTAAAATAATATTTAAATACACATTTATGTTTTGACCCATCCAAATACAAATGCAAAAAGATTTTCAATTCAAATTATAACTCAAATATATACATCTAAACATAAATTCAAATTATAACTTTAACTCAAATTATAACTCAAACTCAACTCAAAATTATCATTCAAATCACCCTAACCCAAAAATGCAAAAGAACAACTCAAAATTACCTAAAATTTCGTTCAAAATTGATGTTTAGTCATCAATGACAGACCCTTTGTATAAATAGACTATGTAAAAAGTGTTTTTAAGTAAATAAACCACAAAAAAAATAAATTGAGTAAATAGGCCAACTTCCACATCAGCTATTCCACGTCATCAATAACCGACCGACCAGACCAAGAACAGACCAAGAACCGACCACTAGATTAAGAACAGACCACCAGATCAAGAACAAACCAAGAACCGACCTCCAAACCAAGAACAGACCAAGAACCGACCGACCAGACCAAGAACAAACTAAGAACCGACCACTAGACCAAGAACAGACCACCAGACCAAGAACAGACCAAGAACCGACCACCAGATCAAGAACAAACCAAGAACAGACCACCAGACCAAGAACAGACCAAGAACCGACCACCAGACCAAGAACAGACCAACAACAGACCAGAACCGACCAAGAACCGACCACTAGATCAAGAACAGACCAATAACAGACTAAGAACCGACCAAGAACTGACCAGCAGAACAAGAACAGACCAAGAACAGACCAAGAATCGACCGACCAGACCAAGAATAGACCAATAACAAACTCTAATAAAACATTAAAAACATACATTTTACATATTTTTTGATTTTGTAGGTATTAATAACCATTGTAATTTATAAAATAGAAAAAAATATTGGTAAAAAGAGAAAAAACCAAGAACAGAACAAGATGTTCTTGGTCTGTTCTTGATTTTTTCATTTTTTACCAATTTTTTTTTCTCTTTAATAAATTAAATATCTCTCCAATCTTCGGGACTAGTTCAAAGCTTTCCAAAAAAAAAAAAAACACATCATTGTCTATTCTTGGTCAAGTGTTGTTAGTTCTTGGTTTGTTCTTGATTTTTTAATATTTTACTAATTTTTTTTCTCTTTTATAAATTAAATGTCTCTCCAATCTTCGGGACTAGTTTGAAGTTTTCCAAAAAAAAAAAAACACATCACTGGCTATTCTTGGTCAAGTGTTGTCAGTTATTGGTCTGTTCTTGGTCTGTTCTTGGTTTTTTCTTTTTTTACTAAATTTTTTTTTCTCTTTTATAAATTAAATGTCTCTCCAATCTTTTGGACTAGTTCGAAGCTTTCCAAAAAAAAAAAACAACATCATTGTCTATTCGTGGTCAAGTGTTGTCGGTTCTTGGTCTGTTCTTGGTCTGTTCTTAGTCTGTTCTTGGTTTTTTAATATTTTACCAAATTTTTTTTCTCTTTTATAAATTAAATATCTCTCCAATCTTCGGGACTAGTTCGAAACTTTGCAAAAAAAAAAAAAAAAACAACATCATTGTCTATTATTGGTCAAGTGCTGTCAATTCTTGGTCAGTTCTTGGTCTGTTCTTAGTCTGCTCTTGGTTTTTTAATATTTTACCAATTTTTTTTCTCTTTTATAAATTAAATGTCTCTCCAATCTTCGGGACTAGTTCGAAGCTTTCCAAAAAAAAAAAAAACATCATTGTCTATTCTTAGTTAAGTGTTGTTAGTTCTTGGTCTGTTATTGGTATGCTCTTAGTCTGTTCTTAGTTTTTTAATATTTTACCAATTTTTTTTTCTCTTTTATAAATTAAATGTCTCTCCAATCTTCGGGACTAGTTCGAAGCTTTCCAAAAAAAAAAATATCACTGTTTATTCTTGGTCAAGTGTTATCAGTTCTTAGTCTGTTCTTAGTTTGTTCTTGATTTTTTCTTTTTTTACCAAATTTTTTTTCTCTTTTATAAATTAAATGTCTTTCCAATCTTCGGGACTAGTTCGAAGCTTTCCAAAAAAAAAAATATCACTGTTTATTCTTGGTCAAGTGTTATCAGTTCTTAGTCTGTTCTTAGTTTGTTCTTGATTTTTTCTTTTTTTACCAAATTTTTTTTCTCTTTTATAAATTAAATGTCTTTCCAATCTTCGGGACTAGTTCGAAGCTTTCCAAAAAAAAAAATATCACTGTTTATTCTTGGTCAAGTGTTATCAGTTCTTAGTCTGTTCTTAGTTTGTTCTTGATTTTTTCTTTTTTTACCAAATTTTTTTTCTCTTTTATAAATTAAATGTCTTTCCAATCTTCGGGACTAGTTCGAAGCTTTCCAAAAAAAAAAATATCACTGTTTATTCTTGGTCAAGTGTTATCAGTTCTTAGTCTGTTCTTAGTTTGTTCTTGATTTTTTCTTTTTTTACCAAATTTTTTTTCTCTTTTATAAATTAAATGTCTTTCCAATCTTCGGGACTAGTTCGAAGCTTTCCAAAAAAAAAACATCACTCTCTATTCTTGGTCAAGTGTTGTTGGTTCTTTGTCTGTTCTTGATTTTTTCTTTTTTTACCAAAATTTTTTTCTCTTTTTACCAAAAATTTTTTCTCTTTTATAAATTAAATGTCTCTAAAATCTTCGAGACTAGTTCGAAGCTTTCCAAAAAAAAAAACATCATTGTCTTTTCTTGGTCAAGTGTTGTCGGTTCTTAGTCTGTTCTTGGTTTTTTCTTTTTTTATCAAATTTTTTTATCTTTTATAAATTAAATGTCTCTCCAATCTTCAGGACTAGTTCGAAGCTTTCCAAAAAAAAACATCATTATCTATTCTTGATTAAGTGTTGTCGATTCTTGGTCTGTTCTTGATTTTTTCTTTTTTTACCAAATTTTTTTCTCTTTTATAAATTACAATGGTTATTCATACCCAAAAAATCAAAATATATGTAAAAATGTATGTTTTTAATGTTTTATTAGAGTTTGTTATTGGTCTGTTATTGGTCTGGTCGGTCGGTTCTTAGTCTGTTCTTGGTTTGGTGGTCGGTTCTTGGTCTGTTCTTGGTCTGGTAGTCTGTTCTTGGTCTGGTGGTCGGTTCTTGGTTTATTCTTGGTCTGGTCGGTTGGTTCTTGGTCTGTTCTTAGTCTGTTCTTGGTCTGGTGGTCGGTTATTGGTCTGTTCTTGGTCTGGTGGTCGGTTCTTGGTCTGGTGGTCGGTTCTTGGTGTGTCATTGGTCTGGTGGTCGGTTCTTGGTGTGTCATTGGTCTGGTGGTCGGTTCTTGGTATGTTCTTGGTCTGGTGGTCGGTTCTTGGTATGTTCTTGGTCGATTTTTGGTTTGGTGGTCGGTTATTGGTCTGTTCTTGGTCTGTTCTTGGTCTGGTGGTCGGTTATTGGTCTGTTCTTGGTCTGGTGGTCAGTTTTTAGTCTGTTCTTGGTTTGGTGGTCGGTTCTTGGTCTGTTCTTAGTCTGGTGGTCGGTTCTTGGTCTGGTCGGAGTTTTGGAGGGTCGATCGGCGTTCGGGATGGTCAGTCGGTGTTCGTGAGGATCGGTCGGCGTTTGGAGAAGGTCGTTCAACGTTGGGGTGGTCGGTGAGAACCGGAGGAGAGAGAGAGGAAAGGGGGTCTGGGCATGGAAGGAAAAAGAAAAAAAAAGAGTCAGTCGGGATGAGAGTCTGTTCAGTTTTGAGAGAAGAAAAATGAAAATGTACACGTAAATTAAAATGGGGTCCATTTTTTAACACGTAAGATACACATAAATTGTTTTTTGTTATGAAAAAAAAAATGATCTAAATCCCCAATTTCTATTTTCTTCCGGTCTCTTTCAACAAAATTTCTCATCGACACAAACATACGACTAGTACTACGAAAGTAACTATTTGGACCTACTCCGAATAGAACATAAATCTCCATCCGCAGCGGCGGGGAGAGACAGAGATGAGGTGCCCGTACTGCTCGGCGGGGCAAGGACGGTGCGCCACCACGAGCGGCGGTCGTTCCATAACGGAGTGCAGTTCCTGCGGTCGCGTAGTGGAGGAGCGTCAGTCCCACCCCCACCACCTCTTCCACCTCCGCGCCCAAGACAACCCTCTCTGCCTCGTCACGTCCGACCTTCCTTCCCTCCAATCCCACCACCACCCCAACGACAACAACAACGCCGCCGACGACGACGACCCCTTCGAGCCCACCGGCTTCATCACCGCCTTCTCCACCTGGTCCCTCGAGCCCACCCCCCTCTTCCTCCGCTCCTCCCTCTCCTTCTCCGGCCACCTCGCCGAGCTCGAACGAACCCTAGAATCCTCTTCTTCTTCGAACTCGTCTTCATCGTCGTCGTCGACGGTGGTGGTCGATAATCTTAGGGCGTATATGCAGATTATCGATGTGGCTTCGATTCTGGGATTGGACTGCGACATTTCCGACCACGCCTTTCAGCTCTTTAGGGATTGCTGCTCCGCTACTTGTTTGAGGAATCGCAGCGTTGAGGCTCTCGCCACTGCGGCTCTTGTCCAGGCCATTAGGGAAGCTCAAGAGCCTAGAACCCTCCAGGTAAATGTTTTATCTTTCAATCTTGTTTCTGAATTTCCGTTGTTATATGTAACCATTGTTAATTTTGGTTGTTCTTATTGTAATTGAATTCTGCAATTTATGGGGTTTTTTTTTTTGTACCGTTTCATGGAGTTATCGGATTGGGATAGAGTGCGAGTCAATAAAGTTTCCTACTTTTATAGAGAATGCACACTAGTGAGGTTTTTCTTTTTCATATTTTGTGGTATCTGTTAGTGATCGGTGAAGACGACTCTTTTATGAAGATGGTTATCTTGTATGTGTATTGAGTTTTTTGTTAGGAGTTAAACGACAATTCGCGAGCAATGAGAATCAAATAAACACAGTACACACAAAGAATTTGTAATGGTTCAACCTCAATTTGAGAGCTACAACTTCTTGCTGAGTCAAAATATTACCATAATCTGAGGAAAACATGCAAGATATAGACCACTCAAAATGCCTGTTTTAGTCTTATTGTCTCTCTTTTCAGAAGACAGTTGTCCTTAAAAGTCCCTTATATATCACGAGAATTAGGGCAGACCAATACACATGTAGAATACCTAAAATACTCCCGGACTAGAATTTTTGTCTCTCTGCATCAGGCCCATAAGTAGGTTCTGCATACCCAACGTTTCGAAGATTTCTAATGAAGATAATTTAAATCCTAACGTTATGAAAATGATATTAGCGAGAGGAATTTCATCCTTGTATTGAGTACTATAATTTAAATCTGGGTGGAATGTGTGTCCCTTTTTATTTGATGTTAGTGGGCAATGGGGCAACCATTTTGTGAAGCTTAAAAGATTGTCCAGAACGATTATTTAACTTTGGAGATAGTAAATCTGACTTCTATTGAGTAGTGAGTAATGTCTAAGAAAACGTGTATAGTTTGTAGATGTAGTATGTGGTTAACATGGCACGCATCACTTCTGTAATGAAGATAATTCGTTGGTGACAAAGTCAACGTTGTTATTTTCATACCTTTCTCCTGATGATTTCTCTACATTACCCTGAACACTTGTTAATAATGTCTATTTCCCCCGGCCAATGATTATCTTGCAACAGCAAGTGACTGCTTTATGCAAAAATGTTGCTTCTTGTCAGGGAAGCCTAAATAACGTTTTCATATTTAGTCACTTTCATCTGTCGTGTTGTGGCCCATTTTTTCGCGGTCAGGGCTTCTCTGACTTGAATTCTGCTTTTTTTTCGTGCAGGAAATTTCCATTGCAGCCAATGTACCCCAGAAGGAAATTGGGAAGTACATCAAGATACTAGGAGAAGCTCTTCAACTAAGTCAGCCCATCAACAGCAACTCCATATCAGTGCATATGCCTAGATTTTGCACACTTCTTCAGCTCAACAAATCTGCTCAGGTAATCTCTATTCTGTGCTGCATAACTGTGATATTTCATAGTTATTAGATTGATCATGGAGTGGCATGGGATAGTGTAAACAAAATGGATAGTTCCCTTCAATTTGGTGACTTCATTTTACACTAATAGTCCAGCTAGATTTTGACAAGTTGGGAAATTTCTAATCCAATGAAAACAAATGCATTGTATGTTTTCACATAGTTTTATGACATCTAATTGTTCTGTTAGAAACCTGAATAATTTTATTTCTAAACTATGTTCTAACATGCTTGGCGAGTTACAGGTGTCAGTGTTTCAAAATATTTGACGATCAGGGGATTTTATTAACTCAATGATTAAAATTTGTTGAGTCAAGTTGAGAAAACAAATACCGTAGACTTAACTATGTCAACAGAAGAGTTATCAAAACCAAGTGCAACTTATACTGCTTAAGCTAAAAGCGTTAATTAACTTTCTTTGACAATGTATCTATCAACTTAATTATTTTAACGGAAACATTTATCAAAACCATCTAACAACTGAACTGTTACAGCTTACACAAACTGTTAAATAACTTCTACTGACAACTAATTATAAAATGTATGTGTGTGTGTGTGTATATATATATGTATAATATGCAAGTGACATTTGATGCAGTCTTGAGAAGTTTTTTTTTTGTGAGAAACTATTTTGTTTGATGAGTTAGATAGGTGTGATCTAAATACTGTTAGATAACTTCTACTGACAACTAAGTATAACATGTACATCTATATATACACATATATGTATTATGCAAGTGACATTTGATGCAGTCTTGTGAAGTTTTTTTTGTGAGAATCTATTTCGTTTGATGAGTTAGATTGGTGTGATCTAAATGGTAGTTAATGAACTGCGATGAGATAAGACTTAAACAACTTATTCTGCATCTATCAGATCATGAATCCACTTTTATCTTCTAGGAACTGGCAACTCACATTGGAGAAGTTGTCATCAATAAGTGCTTCTGCACTCGCAGAAATCCCATTAGCATATCTGCAGCTGCTATATATTTAGCCTGCCAACTCGAAGACAAACGCAAGACACAGGCAGAGATTTGTAAGGTGACTGGTCTTACTGAAGTCACTCTCCGAAAAGTCTACAAGGAGCTGTTGGAAAATTGGGACGATCTGCTCCCATCTAACTACACTCCAGCTGTTCCTCCAGAAAGAGCATTTCCCACAACGGTAATTGCATCAGGCCGCTCTTCGGGATCCAAAGGGGATTTCACCGAAGTGGCTGCTGCTTTGGGCAGGGAGAAGCAGCCTGAAATGAAACCCAATAAACCAAATGATGTCTTGGAACCCAGCCATCAAGTCCGAGTTAAAGAGGAAGCTGAGAGTAAAGGTAATTCTCGCGGGGCTCATACTTCTGCATTGAACTGTTCAAGCGTTCTTTGGCAAACTCAACTTCCATTTGGGGCTTTTGGTGTGAGGACAACTAGCGAGAAGGGTCAGAATGTCAGTAGAGGAATGCACATTGACGAGGCGCAGCCGGACCATCAACTAGTAGATCAGAAGATAGATATAGACTCAAAGGGTGTGACTAGCTCTTCAAGCAATCAACAGTTTAGACCCCCAACTTCATTGGGCCCTTCTTCAAATTTTCAATATTTTGGGCAGCCATCGAAGCTCGCACCGGGTTACGTTGAGCTTAAAAGTTTGGCAGGTCAAAATGGAAATACAAGTGCCAAACAATGATTTGAATATGGTTTTCTTATATATATAGTCTGTAATTACAATGTCGGGATGTATCGGAGGTACTGGGTCTGACCAGACTTTCGTTTGCACCTTTTGGAGAGGTTGTTGTATTGAACTCTAGTTTTTTATGTGCCAAAGGCTACTTGGAATCTTTGGGTTTGACTAGAGTTTCATTTGTTCACTTTGGAAAGGTTGTAGTAAAAGCCTACAATGTCACCATGCGGCTCTCCAGTTTTTCAAGTGCCAAAGACTACTAATCTGGAGAGGTTGTTGTAATGCCAATGGACGGTACAAAATCTCATTTTCCCAAATTACAGTCCCCATGTACTAATCAAGGATTGGAAGAATGAGAAATAAGAACAAGAAAGGGAAAAAAATAATAAAATGAATTAGAGTTTTACAAGAGTAAAACATCAGAATTTAGTTATAAATATTTACCAATCTATTAAGGAATTAGTTTCAAATGGAATTAAACTCGCTTAAAGCTCCGAACTCGTGACTTTTTTGTTTATGTTAAAAACAAATAGATAAAAATCATATGACTCCACTTATTCATCTTTTTTTTTCGGTCTAATTTTAATAGAAAATTTTAAGCTTAAATGGGACAAATTTAAAATTTAAGTGGTAAAGTGAGAGTAATTAACATTTAGAGCACAAAGTGTGAATAACTCTAAAGTTTAGGCGGCACCAGTAAAATTAATCCTAGATGAAAATTTTAATTTGTTGTTCATAAATGGTTAAAAATGTAAATAGAAAAGTTTTTTATAAGCTCTTTTTCATAAACACTTAGGAGGTGACTTATCCTAAAAGAGCTTATAAAAGTCAAAACTATATTTATGTTGTTCATCTAAACAACCTGAAAGCAACTTTGAACTAAATAAGTCAAAACTAACTTTTTTTAAGCCATTTAAGCCAATCCAAACAGAATTTTTAAAAATGCCATCAATAAAGTAACACTATTTTATTTTTGTCACTGTTGTTATCTTATGTCACTAATAACTTGTAGGTTATATTTTCATAAACTGCAAGCTATTTTTTGTAACCGACAGGTTATATTTCATATCCTGCATGTTATATTTTGTATCATGTAGATTATCTTTTGTATGCTGCAGGTTATTATTCGTAGTGGCATTAAAATTTTGTGTAGTGATGTAAATAATAGAGTTGAAAAAAATAATGATTAAACTTGAAATTTACTTATTAGAATTGGGGAACGAGAATCAATCTTATGTTTACTTGCTATTTTTTATTCTAGAATAAAAGCAGAATTAGTGAGCCCCATACAAATTTGAGATTGAAGAATAGAATTGACAATTCTATGTCCGCTTCCGAATTGAGACTCTCAATCCTCATATTAATGTTAAATTACTATCTTACCTCAAATTTATTTATAAATATTGGATAAAAAAATAAAATATAGAATAAAAATAATTAGAACCTACAATTTACTAAATAATATAATATTAGCCTAATTTTGTTAGATTAATTATTTTTATTAAAATATTTCAATTTTTTACACTTTATTTTTAATCTTTTTTTATTTGTTCTTTGTTTGGCGAAAAAGTAGTTACACAACTTATATTTACAATTTAATTATCCTAATATGTAATAAATATAATTATGATTAACATTAATACAACAATTATATAATTTATATAACAATTCAATCTAATCTTGAGTTTAAATAAACATATGAATAAGATTTAAACCGATACTGATTTTAAATCTTACAAATTAAGTAAACAATTTATTTTCTCTCTTAATCGTACTCACTTTAATTACGATTAAATAAATATAACATATGTTTTCTATATAGAACTAGTGAAAACTCGGGTTGTCAACTACAACTCTCTTTATATTTACACTTGAACAATTTCAACTAAAATTAAAATGTGTTTGGAATTGATACGCAAATATAAAGAGCTATCTACGCCG